GATGCCCCGCGATGCCCCGCGATGCCCCGCGATGCCCCGCGATGCCCCGCGATGCCCCGCGATGCCCCGCGATGCCCCGCGATGCCCCGCGATGCCCCGCGATGCCCCGCGATGCCCCGCGATGCCCCGCGATGCCCCGCGATGCCCCGCGATGCCCCGCGATGCCCCGCGATGCCCCGCGATGCCCCGCGATGCCCCGCGATGCCCCGCGATGCCCCGAGACGCCCCGCGATGCCCCGCGATGCCCCGCGATGCCCCGCGATGCCCCGCGATGCCCCGCGATGCCCCGCGATGCCCCGCGATGCCCCGCGATGCCCCGCGATGCCCCGCGATGCCCCGCGATGCCCCGCGATGCCCCGAGACGCCCCGAGACGCCCCGCGATTCCCTCCCGGAATGCAGCTCCAGCGTCCAGCCTGGCCGCAGCCCCGCGCGCCGGCGATATTTTTAATATCCGGACCACCAGACACAGCAGCAGCAGCCAGCGATGCGGACCGAACAGTCCCCCCCCCCCCTCCCGCTGGGATTTTTGCATCGCGCGCTCGGCATGCTTGCGTGCGGTTGGGACGCCTGACAGCTTTAGCACGACGCCGCGTCCCGCCTCGCGGCCTGCACCGCCTGCTGCAGCGCGCTGCGTGCGAGGGGCGGACCGCGAAAGGTCAGGCCGTAAAAAGGGGCAGAGTACTCGCTACCAGTGTACCTACCAGGCCTTCATGGAGCGGAGGAACGGCCGGGCGATTGACCGGGCGGGGCAGATAAGCCCTCGTTACCCCGGGTCTGTCATTACGCGCAGCCCCAGCCCAGTAATACCAACTACCCGGCCGGGATGAAATTAAAACTTTTCGACGAGTCTGCCTCTGCCTCCAACCCGTCCCCGCCCCGGCCAGCAGCACGCCCCCCATAAAGACGAGGCCGGTCATCGAGTTAGCCGGGACGGGAAACGTCCGCGTGACTCTTGACCCGGCGCCGCCCCGCCCCGCCGCCCTGCCGGCCGATGAGTCGCTAAACGAACGAGATTAATCCACGTAAAACATATAACGGCGCGCTGCCCGGGACTGCCCGCTGAGCTGAGCAAACGGTGTCGTCGTCTGCTCGGCCCGGCACGGCCTGCCAGCAAGGACGTCCCGGACGTCCCATCAGCAGCCTCCACCCATAAATCACCGACAGGCTGCTGGCTCCGGGGCCGTCCGGCCGTCCGGGGCGCAACGGTGTGCCGAATATTGTCGAGTTCATCAGCGGCCCCGGGCCGAGCCCCGGGCCTCCCAGCTCGACGAGGCACTTGAGCCCCGCTGCGCCGCGCCGCCGCGCCGAGCCGAGCAGCCGGCGGCGGACCACAAAAGGCGCGGAGCCGAGCCCGGGCCGCGGCGGGCTATTTAAATTGTTGAAATGTAACTAATTCGCCGAGTTATGGGGACAGGCTCACGGCCGGGACGGACGGGCAAGGCTCGAGCGGGAACTCTATGGAGAGGACCGGACCAGGCAGGGCACACGTTTCGTGGCGAGGCGTGGCGGGGCGGGGCGCTGGGGGCCTTGTTGTCGAGGCCCCGCGCCGGCCGCCGGCCACCCAGGAGGTCGTCATCGCGAACATGAAAAGGCTCGGGCCGCCCGGTCGCCACGGAGCCCCCTGCCCCGACACGGGGCCCCACCCCGAGGAGGCCCCCCGCGTCAACACGACACGCTTTCTGACTCTTCGCTGCCGTCCAGCTCGCGGGGTCGGCACTGCAGTGGCGGGGGGTGGGGAGGGGGAGGGGGAGGTCCGCGCGGAACGCTGTCGTCTCGCTTCACCCCGATAAACGACAAAAGAGCGGGCGGACGACGGGCTTAACGTTGACGGCGCGGCTGGCGCGGCCGGCGGGGCGTCAACCCCTCAGCCACACCCTCCCCGTCAGCCTGACGGTCTGCCGGCCGGCCTGCCCGGCCTGCCCGGCTACGCACACTTAATTGGCAATTTGCAGGGCTGAAAACGTGTGGGGTGGCGGCACGGCGTGGGCACGGCGGCACTGGGGCGGCCATTAGCTTCATTCTGCAGCATCGGCTCAGGCTGCCTTACTGCCGCGCCGGGACGATCCCCCTTTTAGTCAGTCAGCAGGCTCGGCTGGCTCGGTTGGCGCGCGTGGCCGACACGGCGCCAGACCCGGGCGGGCCCGGCCGCGGAGGCCGCCGCGGGGCACCACCGCGATGGCGAGGGTGCGGCGGGGGCGGCGTGTGGCGGCGTGCCCCCGGGCGACGTGTTCACCCACCAGCAGACTGATCCCGAGAGCCGTTTTCGTCCCTCGGTCTCCCTCGCACTCACGGCGCGTCCCGTATAGGTGCGAGAGAGACAGAGCGACCCTCGGAATCAGTCCGCGGCTCGGCTGGCTCGGCTACCGGACCGGCAGCGGCGCCACCAGCGGTGCGAACAGCGCCACTCACCGGGCTGCCTCGCTTCCCTGGCTTCCCGCCGCCACCCTCGGCCCGCCTCGGCCAGAAAGAGCTGATTGCTCTAAAGTGGTTATCTCTGCCTGTGATACGCATCCGTGTCCCGCATCCCCCGCCGCACACGCCAAAGCACTTCCCCGGGCAAAGAATACGCCGCAAAAAACGGGAACCGCAGTCGTCACGGCGCGACTTCTCCGCCTCCGCCTTTTCGGAGTCCCCCTCTCAATCGAAATAAAGAGGGCAGCTTGTATTGAGTTCCGGCCAGATCCGATAATCCCCCGGCAAAAGCGCCACACCACGCCGCGCTGGCCGCGCAGGCCGCGCAGGCCGACAGCCAGGAGATCGATCAAGTGCCTTTACTTACGTCCGGCGGGGCGGGGCGGCCAGGCCAGGGCAGGGCAGGGCCGAGACAGCCAGCCGTCGGTTTTAGCGGTTTGGCCGCCACGCCGACACTGACGGCGTGCCTGACGGCCCCAGCGATCGGCACGGCCCGGGTGGTGGTGGTGGGATTAGCGCCCCGGGGCCGCGCGCCGCGCCCCGCGTGCACGCCCCGCAGGCCGTGGGCGTGGCGGAGATCAGCCTTTCAATTAGCTCGGCAAGAGGGACTTTGCGGGCAAGACTCTGTCTCACTCTCCCTCTCGCACGAGAGCGCGCCGCGCCGCGCCGCGCCCGGGGTGTATTTACTCTCCACGATGATGGCGTCGTGCTCCACTTGGACGACACGACTTTTCCACCTGGACACCCCCGGCCCGGCTAAATCCGGCATCGGCCGCCTCGCCGCCTGCCAGCACCACTCATAACGCCCGGCGACGCTCCTGCTTGACGCTCTTGACGACGACACACAGGTGCTGCCGTACTTTTCAGCGCCCCGCCCCGCCACCTCGATGCCAGTCAGTCAGTCGCCCGCGATCTGTCATGCAGACGACGACGCCCCGTGCGCCCACACGGAGTCCTTGAGCTCCTCGAGCGCGTCGCCGTTGACACCTCCCGCGCAAAAGCACGTCGGCGCCGGCGCGGCTTGGCTGCCGATAAGACGGAGGCCTCTCGATCCCGCATCCAGGATCCAGAACCCTTGCCGCGTTCTTCTTTTGCCAGCGGAGCGTCGCGCTGAAGTATTCAACGGTCCGATTCCGTGTTTCGTCGCTTCGTCTCTCTCGCACCACTACGGGGCGCGCCATCAGAGCGAGAGAGACAGAGCGACGGCGGCTGCGGCGCCGCGCTCCCGATACGCGCGGCCCGTAAGTTGCGCGTCCCGAGGAAGGAGCAGGAGAAGGGAATCGTGTACCGAAAGCTCAGAAATCTATTACAGTATTCTCCCGCAATAGGTCGACGGCTCGGGACCGGATCTCGGACTATAACGAACACGAAAACCGAACAGCACATGGTGCGAAGGCCGGGCTCCGGCAGTGCTCCGAGCTCGGGGAGGCCATAAAACAATTAGCCGGCCCTTGGGTCCTACACTGGAGTGGCCCGAAACGCAGTGCCGACCGGCGCCTTACGGGTGTACGCTACCTGGCCAGGTCGGCACTGCGGTTCGGGGTCCCGTCAGCGCCCGGGTTCGCGCGTTTTTGACCTGGCGGCACGGAGGACCCCTGTCAATCATCCCCGAGGGTCGAGCTCGCCGGGCCATAAACCCCCGTGCGTAAGCGGGGGCCGTCACATGAAAACGACTTATTGCGAACCGACCTAATGCGGGAGAATACTGTACCGCCTAAATTATAGCCAAACATAGATAACGGAGGCGGGGCATAAAACTGCCAAAAAGCGCCCGCGGGGCCGCGCCGTCCGTGCCGCGCCGTCGCGGGGCACGGGGCATAAATATCTCGCATTTGTGCAGCTTTCACGTCCACGTCGGCCGTCGTTTTTCGGCGAGGGAAAACAGGGCGACGACGGCCGTTCCGAGGCACCCGTTCGATTCCGGACGACGAGTCACACCGCGCAGGCCGGCCGGGGCCACGGGGGCTCGGCGGCATTCTTGGGGACCCCGACGGCCACCGCGGCGACCCCGCGGGGGGCCGCGACTCTCACGTCCGCGTCGACGAACCCGTTGCAGCGCCAGTGACACGCAGTGACACACGTGTCTCTCGATAATTCAGGGCTTTATGGGAAAAGGATAGACAAGCTATCGGCCTATCGGAGCGACCATTGTGTGTGATCCAGTCCGGGGGCCTGCGCCTCGCTTCGCCTCGTCCAGGCACTGAATGGACAAGCAGTTACAGTGTGGGCCCGTCTCGCGGCTCGCGGGGCGCACCGGGGGCGCCGTGCCGCCGTGCCGCCGTGCCGCTGTACGTGTGGGCTGGAACCAATAACCTGCGTGCTGCGCGCGCTGTCCCGCACACACCGCCCGCTGTTCCTCCAGAGTCATTAAATGAAAAGAAAGGGAAAAATAAAATAGAAAAATGATTTCCGTCGGGGGAGAGACACGTGGCTTTTCAATTTCACAAAGCAGAAAGCGCGCGCATCCATCATTCCCACACACTGCGGGGTCACGACGACGTCATGACCCCGGCTTCGAATACCGGCCGCGCCGCGCGGACTTTTTCAAATTTTCCCGCCACCTTCCTTGCGCTTGCAGCGTACTCACCATCAAAGTCGAGGTCGGGGCCCTCCACGGCCTGCACCGCCTGGCACAGGACCGCGGCCGCCAGCACCGCGACGACGACGGCCTTGGCCATGGCCGTGGGGGTCATGTCATGCGCGCGACGGCCGGCACCGCCGCGGCGTCCACATAGCGGCCACACGCCTGCAACAACAACAACAAAAACAACAAAGTCAGCCAAGTTTTTCCTTGTTCAGAAGAGAAAATGTTGAATTTAGGCGGCGCCTAAAACGGGCCCAGGCCCAGGGCGTCGTCGTCGACTCGTCGAGGCCCTCGCTCGCTCCTTCCTGCGGGGCCGGAAGCACCAGGGCGGTTCTAGAGGGCCGCGCCGAGACACGCACACGCACACACACACACGCGCGCAGAGAGAGAGAGAGAGAGGCTGCCGTAAGAGGGCGCTGATGACGAGGCCCACAAAAGGCTTGACGTGACAAAGCGGCGCGAGGAGGCGCCCGGAAAACAAGAGCAGCTGGGCGTGGTGGCGGGGCGGGGCGGGGCGGGGCGGGGCGCCTCCAGAGTCCTTCCTCTCCCTTTCTTCTTCTCCAGCGGCAGGACAATGACGAAACATCGGAATTAACCCGCAGAGGGCCTCTCGTGCACCTTGTCGTTGTCCGAGGCCTCTCCAGCGTCTCGGCCCGCTGTCGCGGCTGGAGCGCGCGCACTCCACTTCCAGTGTCGCTAATGACTCATGCAGAGCGACGGCAGCACTGTTCCGGGGCGGACCGCTGGAACTCCAAAACTCTCTCGCAACACTTGTCCGCGTTGTCCGCGCGGGCGCCAATGACCCTCGGCGGCGCGCCCCCGACTGTATAGTCCGTGGGGGTGGGGGAAGGGTGGGGGGCGCCTCTCGAAATACCGCCCCTCGTGCACTCGAGTACCGGAAAGGAGTGGGGGGAGGGGGAGGCAAGGATTGTCCGGCAGTTGCGCATAGCATCTCTACTTCATCAAACGGCAATGCAAGAGGCCGCCGCGCCGCGCGCTGCAGCAGAACAAGACCCTCCACTCGAATCTGCTACAGCCACCGCCAGCACCGCTGCTGACTCCAGTCGGCCGAGAAATAAGAATAGTCGACGTGATTATAATAAGCTGTCTCGCGCGCTCGCCCCCATTGTGTTCGGGGACTTGTCAAAAGGCGACCCCCTCACACACGCGCACTCACACGCTCACAGCGACAGTGGTGTGTGACGTGTGTGACGCGCACTGTGACACCCCCCGGGCGGCTGGGCCGCGGGGACGCGAACCAGAGCGCTAATAACAACAGCACTGTGAAATCCGACCACGCCCTCGCTGCAGGTAGTAAGTGCGACATTTCGTTGCAACCGCCACCGCGTGTTGCTGTTTTTTGGCGGTGCCTCGCGGTTCGCGAACCACTGAGGGGGGCGACAGGGCGCCAACGAGGCGAACGGAACGAACTGCCGCCGCGGCGGCGCGGAGGCGTCGGCGTCGTCAGTGCCCGGAGGCCAAGGTAAACACAGCAAACGGAGTACAGCGTCGCGACGCCGGGCCTCCCCGCCACCCCTCCCCTTGCTTCGCCCTCACCGCAAGACGCCCCGCACTTTGTCCGGGAGGTGAGACAGTTCTCACCGCCGCTACACAATCAGATAACGAACCCCTTCGGCCCCGCCCCGCCCCGCCCCGCCCCGCCCCGCCCCGCCCCGCCCCGCCTTTCGCCGACTGGCCGGCTGGTGCAGCCCTACCCTTCCCCGCTTTGCATATCGGAGGGACGGCGTCCTCTATCTCGAGGTCACATCTAAGACCGCGGTGGCGGGGCGCAGCGAGTAGTGGCTGGGCCGCTGGGATGAGGTCGCCGTCAAACACCCTGCCGTGGCTGCCCCCGGATGCTGCGACGCTGGGTGCCGCCCGCGCCGTGGGACCGCCGCCACCGGGTGCCACGCAGTGTGCCACCGCCCAGCCGGCGTCCTCCTCGCCGTGCTCCCGAAGGGGCGCCACACTGTAAGCCACCGGCGCAGAAAACAACTTTTCCCAAAAGCCCTGCTGCTGCTGCACGAGCTGCACGCGGTGGCGGCACGCGGCACGGCAACGACGACAAGGAAAGCAAGAACAACGAGAAAACAAGAAGCAGCAGCTGGGGAGAAAAAGCGGTACGTAAATGCTTTTGATATTTCGCCGCCGCCGCGTGGCGCAGCAGGATGGCCGGCGGCGTCCTGGGCTTCCCTGCAACTCGACAGCACCGCCAATAAGCAGATACCTCAACCCCCTCCTCTCTCTTTCCCTCTCCAACGCACACACACACACACACTCGGCCCGTGACGCAATTGAATCATCATCACCGGGACGCCGGGACGTCGCGTCTCTCTCACCCCCGCCAGCCACGCCACACCGCACCGCCAGGCTCGGGGCCGCGGAGGACGAAGAGGAGGACGAGGAGGAGGAAGGGGTTGGACCGGCTGTACCGGTTTTCACCCCGCCCGCTGCGTCGCCGCGTCCAGCACGGGCAGGGCACTGCACGGGGGAGGCCGCGACGCGGAGGGGGGGGGGGGGATGTGGATCAGCGACACGCCGACACTCCATCAAGGACTGCCGAGGCCCTGACTGACGAGAGCAGAGGGACCCACGAAACGAAACGGGGAGCGAGAAAAACAAAAACAAGAAGAGAAAAAAAACGGATTTTCAGATTACAGAGTTAGTTGACGCAGCACACGAGCCGCCGAATAAGGGATGCGACGCCAGGTGCGCGTGTGTGTGTGTGTGTGTGTGTGTGTGTGTGTGTGCGCGCGCGCGCTTGTGAATGAGTGACACGATAAGGCACCAGGATAAAGCATAAAGCCGACCCGGCCGTTGAGGGTTATCTGCCTCTTATTTGAGATAGTTTTGTCATGGCGATCTATGAATAAATTAGAGCGACCCGGCGGCGCGGCGGCGGCGGCAGAGCGGGGCAAAGCAAGGGACAAGTGCACCAGCTTTCTGAGAGCCGAAAGCGCGTTCCCGCTTTACGGTGGCGCGGTCAAAGCGCGCACCGGAAATACTTAACCCGCGCGGTGCGGCCGAGACGACCGCGGCACTGGCACTGCGAGTGTGTCTGTGTGTCTGTGTGTGCGTGTGTGTGCAAAGTTCACACGGCGACACTGTTTCACAACCCCACCCCCGCACCACTGTCCCGCGAATGCGCATTAGAAGTGCGGGACCATTGCACACAGACATACACTACCACACACACACAGACAGCCGCGCCCGAAGCGATACGACGATGGCCATGCACTCGACAACAAAACGCCCTGTGTGTCTGTGCGTGCGAGAGAGAGCGAGAGAGAGAGAGAGAGCGTGTGAGAGTTACGGCCACCACGCCGGATAGGCCTGTCAAAAGGCGACAAAAGCGCCGCGGCGCACTCCGCTCACACGAACTGCACCCCCGCCCCCGCACGGTGGTAAGTCCCCGAAAAGGCGTCCATAGCTCTAAACTGGACGAGTTGGTTGCGCTCACACCAGCGCGCCTCCCAGATCGACAGCGGGAAGAGAAGCAAGAAGGCGTCGTGGGTTCGAAAAGCGAAAAGCGAAGCCGGCACGCGCTAATCTTGTGGAACAGGAGGCAGATTCCCTTTCCCTTCCCAGGACCCTCCAGGACCCTCCATTGCCTGCCTGCCCCGGGGTCCTTCGAGGCCCTTCGCCCTTGACAGCAGCCAGCCCTTCTCGTCAGTCCAAAAAGGGCGCGGCGGGGAGGCGCCAACCGTGAGAACCTCCCGTTGACGCCGTCCTGGCGGTCCTGCGCCGCGCCGAGCCGCGCCGCCCTCGGGGACGCGACCACCCACCCGGCGGACAGCGGACACACCCTTCGTAATCATGGACTGTCATATCGCTTCACACTCGTTAGTGATGCACAGCGGACTCTCTCTCTCTCTTTCTCTCGCGCCCGAGCGGCACGGCCAATGAGTGCGAGAGAGACAGGAGCGGCACTTTTCGAAATGGATGCTGCGGTCAAGCAAGCAGCGCCTGCTCATGGGAACGCCAGTCACGACACTGTCGGCGCTCCAAGCTCGATGGTCCTAGCGGTGTGCGGCTTCGCGGCTTCCGAGGGACTCCTCTCCGGGGTCGTCGTCGTCGTCGTCGCGGCACTCGGAGACCAGACCGCAGCCCAGCCAAACCGCGAGGTACCCCGCTCGGCACCGCACCAAGGGACAAGTTGCGGGCCCGGGCCGGGTCAGGTGCAGGGCCGTAGGGCCAAGGCGGGGCGGGGCGGGGCGGGGCGGGGCGGGGCGGGGCGGGGCGGGGCGGGGCGGGGCGGGTTCAAGAGCCGACCGCAGCAAGCCGCGCAGAGGAGCGAGCAGCGACGCCAATGCAAATGCAAACAAAACGGCGATGCCGTCCCAATCTAGCGCCGTGACGTGACGGACGGCATTGCTGCCCAAACTGATTACGCTAATTGGTTCAACGCTCTTCTGGTGGCGCGGCGCGGCCGGCGCGTCGTGGGCGTACAGTGGCGTGGCGGCGTGGCCGCGGCGTACCAAGGGTCACTTCGACGAGGCGCACTCTGTTATTAGGCCTCATGCGTCAACTAACCGGCCGACCCGCAGATCGATATCTCGCCGGGCTGCCTAACTAGCCTGTCATCGGCCGGCCCAGCCTCGCCACTAGAGAACTGGAGGCTCCAGCAGCAGCTTCGCCGCAGCTACGCCACTGGAGAACTGGAGGCTCCAGCAGCAGCTTCGCCAGCTACGCCACTGGAGAACTGGAGTCTCCAGCAGCAGCTTCGCCAGCTACGCCACTGGAGAACTGGAGGCTCCAGCAGACGCCCGCTACGCCACTGGAGGCTGGTCCGTTGGATGCAGCGGCCGGGTTGCGTTGCGAATATTATATCTGTCCGGCGACGCGGGGACTCGGGGACGCGGCGACGGGCCGACAGGTAGCTGGACTAGTGCCCCTGCCCCTGCGGCCCTGCGGTCAGCAAGCGCGCACGCTCCAGTCGCTCCAGTCGCTCCAGCCGCCCGGCTCGCCTTACCGCCTTGCGGCCGCCAGAGTCACTCCACTCGCCCGGGCTGGTCTGTCTCTCTCGCACGCCTGCGGCCCTACGGGGCGCCCCGCGAGTGCGAGAGAGACAGCGCACTCCCTGCGGTTCGGTGGCTCCGTCCGGCCGTCCGGCGCGCCTCCGTCCAGAGTGAGTCTGTCCGGGCCGCGATCGCCGGCTAGTT